TGTGTGTGTGTGTGTGTGTGTGTGTGTGTACATATATATATATATATATATATATATATATATAATTCTTTCGTGATGAGTACGATATTGGATTTTTATCACGCGTCTCGCATTAAGTTCGCTATCAAACTTGTGAAGTTTCTGAAAAGATATCTCGAAATGCATTTATGTAATGATACGAATTAGGGAATAAATTATTTAAGATCAATCTTAAACCAGTTTATAATAGAGAAAAGAGGGGGAAGACGCAATGACAACATTTTTATCGTAAAAAAAACTTTCGTTTTTATCATCTATTGTAATGTATCAATTTTATAATAATTATAATACATATATCAAAAGGAAATTGTCTCTCTTTATATATATTATTAGTATTTGTAAATAATACAGACTATGAAAACATCTCCCGTCATATTCATAAATTTATCTTTACTTTATTATGTAAGACTTTCTATTTCGATCCTGTGTAATCAGAACAGATTGTCAGTGTATGTTTTATGATACAAAGCATCGATATTTTTTCTCTTTAAATATATTATTAATATAAATGTATAGAGTATCAAAACATCTTCTGTCATATTCATAAACTTACTTTTACTTAATTATGTAAGATTTCTATTGCCTGTGCAATTAGAATAGATCGTCATTGTATATGTTTTGTGATGTAACACGTTAATCTTTTCTCATGTTATTAAATTTTCTCGCGAAAATATTTGCGTCTCATACATTAAATTCTTATACATACTCATTTGGTTATGGATTATTTTAGACTCGACATTCGCTAAAATTATGTGCTTTTTTAGCAGTTATTTAAATCTAAATAATTGCTGCATATATGTTTTAGTGTATGGCGAGTCTAAAGTAGTTCATAAACAAATCAGTATGTATAAGAATTTAATGTATGAGTCGCAAATATTTTCGCGAGAAAATTTAATTTAATAACATGAGAAAATGTTAACGTACGTGTTACATCATAAAATATACAATGACGATCTATTTTGATCGAGTCTAAAGCAGTTCATAAACAAATCAGTATGTAAAATCTGATATATATGAATCGCAAATATTTTCGCAAGAAAATTTAATTTAGTAACATGAGAAAATTTTACAACACAAAATATACAATCACGATCTTGGTTGTGTGACCCTCAACTTGTATATGTTACTACCTATATACTTATATGTTTTATATACTATATATAACGAGTCAAATAAATAAATTTGTTTAACCCTGCTGTTTTGTTCGGACCTATCTGATCCAAAATGTTTATTTTCTTACTAATATTTTATTTAACATTTTTTTCTGTTTGTCTCAAGGTAAGATCTTTGTAAAAATTTTTTACTTCTTTGAATTTAAAATTTTTTTTTTCTCTGAATTTAAATAATATAAATTTAACCCTGTTATGTTGAAATTTACTATACGATCATATTGTTTGGATTGATATGACCAGAAAGCTTTAGAAAGCTCTAGAAAATTAGAGCTTTCTAAAGCTTTCTGATCATATCAATCCAAACAATATGATCGTATAGTAAATTTCAACATAACAGGGTTAAATTATATTATTTAAATTCAATTTAATTGCACGTAGTATTTAATAATACATCTTGTCTTTCTTAACACGTATATAATTTAACTTCTTATTTTACATACCACTCCGCGAGAAAATTTTACATATATTTCTAAACGAAAAAGGAGAACCAGAGTCCGAAAAAATTAAAATACCGGAGCGAATCTCGATCTTTACGCAAGGCCAGGAAAGCAGAGGGAGAATCCGAAAAGAAATCGGACGGACGCCATCGCCCGAGGACCTCCCATCGTCGGCTACATCGTCATCGGTGGAAATATATCTGCGCCGATCAATAATCTCCTGGGAACATCCGTTCCCCTGTCTGCCCTGCCGCAGGGTTACCCAGCTGACTGCTGGCCACCACCTCGTTGGAGGTGGTGGTAGCGCGGAGCAGCAGCACCCAGCCCAGTATCAGCAACCAGCAGCAGCAAAGCACCTGCCGCGTTCTCCCCGCACGCGCGCGCGCGCGAGCGAGCGAGCATCGGGCCGTGAGTCACTACCACTACTACCACGTTTCGTTGCACGTTTTACGCCCTACGTGCCCCCGCGCGCGCCCGCTTGCCGCTCTCGCAAAGCGATGTATTACGTGCAACAACGTAATATTATGCGCCGTGTAAAAAGACATAATGGGACCAGCATAGCGTATTATCTGCGTCCGAATCGATTTCCGGACATTATTGCAAGACAATCCATCCTGAGCTGACGCTCTTCCGCTGACGTTCGATTACGTTTCGCGCGATTATGACGCGAATAATATTATAAGTTGATGAATGCTGGAGAGAAAAGGCATGCGGACGATATATAGAGCGCGGGATGGCGCGTGTCGAATGCTCTCGTTGTATTCCGTTGATCTACGACGATACCAGATATTGACAATTCGCACGCAAGGGTTTCTTTTTTAATTTCTTCGAAATCAGCGTTAAATATACGAGCGTTCAACGACCCTTTCGGCCATCTTCTTGCGATTTTGTAAATCAAGAAACGATACGCAGTGCAGAGTCACAGGGGGTGCAGAGGCGAAATGACGCGATTGTCTCTCCTTGAGAAAACGTCGAAGGGCGAAGAGGGAGAGAGAACGGGGCGGTCGCCCGGCGTGTCCTCCCGAGAACGGGTCACCACGATAGATAGGAATGATGTGGACGTATTTCAGTGGGCAATTTAAAAGACCAGATAATACGCCGGAGGTTAGACGGATATAGACTCCGACGCGAACTCCGAGCCGGAGTTCCGGGAGGGCGGAGGCGCTCGCGCATCAAATATTCAAGAGAATTGATTCCGTGGGCGAGGAGTGTGCAGCAGCAGCAGTAGCCAGACATAATCTACACCGCCGCGATACTATTCGCGGTAATAATGACGTCTACAGTCGAACCGTGTGAGACTCTTATATAGTTTTCCCTCTTAGCATCAAGGATACAAAGAGAAAAAATAAGGAAGAGAAAAATATCATTGCAACTCATCTTACCTTGTCTTTATTATTATTTTTGAAAAAAGGTTTTCTTTTTTAAATAATATTGAAAATAATATCTCTCATGGCAATACGATACTTTTATAAAAATTGATTTGAATTTTCCAAAATTGAAATGATAGACGTAATAGAAAGATAATTCAAGATAAAAGGCTTAAGTAATATAATTAAAAAAAAAAGACAATTAAAAAATCTGAAACACGAGAGAATAGAAAAACAAGAAAGAAGAATTAAAAAAAGAGAATTATTTGTGAACGCACCTCACTTCTCTATTTCCAATTCTTTTATATTATACCTATCTATAAGTTTTCGCGTTTCTGTTATCTCTATGACGTCATACCTGGAGTTACAGGTTTCTAAAGTCTTTTTTTTTATTTTTCTATTTTTTTGTTACAGATTATATTATTTTAATTATTTTTTTTAATCATACTCAATCTCTCTCTCTCTCTCCCTCTGCTTAAGTCTTTTAATTATTAATATCTTGAATATATCTCTATTATACTATAACGTATCATTTTCTTTAATTTTGAAAATTTTTAATTAATTTTAAAAAATTGTATTATATATACCATTGAGAAATATATGTATATTCACAATATTATTTTTAAAAAATTTTTCTCGAACCAATTTTTTCTGACTTCTATGCTAGTTTTCAGAATTCGTGTGTCGCGCTAAAACAAGCCATTAGAAAATTTCTGTGGCGCATTTTTTTGTAGCGTAATTTTTATCATGCTAGATTTTACGGAAGTTCTACATTTTCGACAATCTGAAAAGATATAAAGAGACATAAATAATATACTCACTGAATTCACCCCCGATTCGAATTAATACAAGCGCTTCGTCGCCGACTGAAGAAAATTGTCAGGCGGCAGATAGTCCTCGCATCATTTTCAAAGATATTGCCCGTGAGTTGTTTCAGTTTATTTCAGCGAATATCTCGATACTTCGCACAATTCTCGCAGTGCGCCTTACGTTTTGAACTACGATGCAACACTATCTGCTTAGTATCACGAACGCACGATGGTTTATCGGGAGCTAATTAAATATTTTTATATAATTAATTTCAATTTTCGGTGCCAAAACGATCTGTGCGAACTCGCTTCGGTACTTTTTGCGAGAATCCGAGATCGTTTTAGCAAAATGCGGTCGTTAAGCGCGACAGAACTACCCGAACTGACGACTGCCACCCGAGAAGCACTGGCACCGTCAACCACCATAGCACCATTCTACCGCCATCTTCTTACCTGTGCAAACGGTACCACTACGACAGGTACGGCAGGTGCGCGTGCACGATCGCCAGGGTTATCGATTATAGTCATTACTTATTATACTTCGAAGGTTTTCGCTCTCGCGTGAAAAACACACGACGAGATAAAGCTGGATCAGGATAAATCTAAACATAACGATTTGCGAAAGGGTTGCAAGACGTATAGCCCTCTCCATCCAGTCGCTTCGTGCGAAACAGGTCGCGTCGCGAGAGATAGATTCGCGGATGCTGTAATATTTAATTTCTTCTCTTTTTTTCTAATTATTTCGGATTTTATACTGAAATTTATTTTTGAGAACGATTTGAGCGGAGAGAAAATCGAAGCGATAAATTGGCGAAGTCCCCCCTAACGTTCGCAACGGCGAAATTACACCTGGACCCGCAGCTTTTAAAACCTGCCGGTAGACGAACCACCACATGGAAGATAAGAGGAACTTGCCAGTTAGTCATAAGGAAGCAGCAAGGCGTGAAAAGCTTGGAGCACGCGAACCAAGGGGAATAACGATAGGGCGACAATAGACAATGAGAGAGCTTTTTGCGAGTGTCGATGATTTATTTCCATTACATTACAGCACTCCTAACATTTGATACTCGTATTTAAATCTGTCCTAAGAAAATTCTCGAAAAAACGGCCAATGCGGATGTATCCTCGATACAATCTTGGCGACTAGTCCGCCGAGCATTTCTATAACGCTCCTTATAAAAGATCGTGAAAATCAGGATTTTTAGGCAAGATACAATTATGCGTATATACAGGATGAGCTGTAATTCGTGATGCAATCGAAAAGAGAGCGATTATTTATGTAGAGATAAATCGGAAAGGATGGTAGAACATTTGCTTTCAAAGAATTCCTTGGGTACCCTAAATTTAATATTTTTTGCTCTGTTAAAAATCGATTTTTATGTAAAAAATCTTTTACTTTAAACTAACATCATTTTATTTCTTATTTTATCTAAGGTTTATAGTCTTTTTTAACTATACACAAATGAAAATTTATCGGAATTTCCGTTTCAGATCATCCGAGATATCATACACACCATGCTGTCTAGTGCCTCATATATAAACGCTAATAACTTTGAAATTAATAAACATATCTATACTAGATTTTTTTTACTGAAGTCCAATATACATATCTACAATAAATACAAAAGCCTATGAAAATCCGTTGCAAATTTCAAACAAAAATTCCTAAAGACAGTTTTCTTCGTTAAATTTCCAAAGGCTCTTTAAGAAAATTTAAGTAGATTTAATCGATGAAAGTAATAAACCCTACCTTATATAAACATTTACGAGTACTAACACAAATAGAGAAATAAAAATAGGTAATTATTCGATAAATTTTTAAATCTGATTTTCTCAAAGATAGTGTGTTTTGCGTATAAAAATGTTATATATTTTCTTTCAATTTACCTTTACATAAAGAATCATTTTCTTCTCGTTTTCATTTACCACGATTTACGGTTCACTGTACAGGTACAGGTACAGGTATATATACACATATATTTGCATACATATGTGCATACGTATGTACATGTATACGCATATGTACGATCCGCTGGAAATTCATCGGGATAAGTCGCGCTATTGCGAGAATTACATGAACCGAAGGGAACGCTTGGAACAGGGCGCGACGTGTATCTCTAGGATCGTATTGAACGAGAGAGAAAGAGAGAGGAAAATAGACAAGAAAGGAGGATGACGGAACAAGAATAGGAAAAAGACGTACGCGCGTACCGATATCACCATATTCGATATTTAACGAACGCCAACTCGCCAGACGCACACCTTGATGCTCGTTCTATTGCGTACACGGCCATTCCATGATCAGACGAGAGATACAAATTCTAAGGTGAAGACGACGACGCACGTCGACAGAAGAAACAATCGTCGGTTTTCCGCTATCTATATCCGCTATTTCCGCTAGATCGTTGGGAGTGCGACAGCACCGTTCAAACACGGTGCTCGGAGGGATGAGAGTCTGAAGAGGACTGTAAAAACCGAGGTACTACGACGCGTGACATGCCCTGCTGTCGCCCCCTGCCGCCTTTTTAATTACCGATTCCTACGGTTGATTGGTAGTGAACGGTGTCACTCCGTTATTAGCCATATTGTCCAGAACACCACTGATGTACGCCGCGACGTCGATTGTCGCCTCCTCGGCTTGCCTGATGAACGGATGTTCCAGCAGTTTATTGTACTTCGGTCGCTGCGTCTCCTCCTTAATTAAGCTTAACAGACAATAACAAACGAATTTTAATTCCAAACGGAACGTTTTAGCTGTTCAGATCGGCAGATAGGAAGATGTCAAGTTATTCTCTACCATGTATTCACAAAGTTCACAAAGTCCATAGTGAAGTGATTGCCATTCTCGTTGGGAGAGAGTCGCGGCGGATCACCTTGCACTACTTGATAAAGTTGTTCGAAGACAGAGTTCCACTTCGGGTACGGGAAATATCCCGTAGCAACCTCCATCAGCGTAATACCTAATGACCATACGTCGCTCCGCACGTCGTAGCCACGTGCGCGTTGCGGGTCTATCCTTTCCGGCTAAATATTACAATAACATTCATGAAGCGCGGGCAATTTAATTACAGAATTACACATTTTATTCGGATGTTTCACTCGCTGTAGAAACTTACAGCCATGTACGGTCTACAACCAGCGTCACGAGTCCTCGCGATCGAGTCCACAAGCTGGCCGGATATACCAAAGTCGCACAATTTTATGTTACCTCGGCGATCCAATAAAATATTACTAGGTTTCACATCCCTGTGAATTATTCTTAGCTTCTCCTTGAGGTAATTCAGTGCCTTTACGGTGGCCACCGTAATTTTGCCTAAAATACATTCCGGTATCCTCTCGTTTAATCTCTCGTAGATGAACTTGTAAAACTTATCTAACGATGTGTCCATAAGTTCCATGCAAATCCAACAATCTCCCTGTGTGTAAAAGAACAAATTGTAATTGTTTCGGTTGCTGATACACGATATCATCGACACATATACTAGGGCTTACTTTTTATTCACTTCGAATATTTGAAGCTTCGACGTTAACTTCGACCTTTCGAAGTTTAAGGTGCCTTTGAAGCTTCGAAGTTTTGAAAAATACATTAAAAATTGGAATTTTCTTAATTGGATTGTTTTATTGATCATTACCTCCTTATTTACACATGTATCAAGTTTAATTATTAATTTGTAATATTTCAGGTTATAATACTTTTTTTTTATAATTTTTTAGGAATAATTTCATATATATATTAATTCTTTTTATTTACAATATTTATAAATTATCTGAATAAATTTATCATTTACAAATGTATTTTTCGAAATTTCGAAACTTCGAAGCTTCAAAAGAATTCGAAGATTTTAATCTTCGAATGTCGAAACTTTCGAAGCAAATCACCAACCCTAACAAATACTATATGCATACAATATACCTCTTTAAATAAAGCGCCATAAAATTGCACAATACACGGGCACTCGTTCGATTTCATCACAACTTCTAAATCCATTAACAGTTGCTTTTGTTCTCTCTCGTCCACGGTAGAGCGAATTCTCTGAAATACAATTCAAATATCTTTTAACAAATTCTAATTTAAACAGAATTTAAATAATGTGTTTAAATTATTTTATACACATTCATGAAGACTAAGTGAAGTCGAAACTTGTTCTGTTACATACTTCTGTTATTGTGTTAATTTTAAATTGACAAATTAAACTTGTATCATGATTGATTGAACATGTATTATTTTTGTTCGTTTTTTAATATGTCTTTTTTCACTTTTTCTTTTTTTTTTTAGATTCTGTTTATTCATCATTACTCTTAAATTATGACGTCAGAAGCAAGAAAATACATAATAAAAATTCTTAAGTATATTAAAATGGAAATTCGATAAAGCCGACTTGTAAAATATATATATCGAAAACTTTCTTTTTATTTCATTAATTAATAAATAACAATGTATCTGGAAATTAATCAAATATAATTAAAAACAAAATGAGCTATGTTCATAATTATGACTGTCAATTTTAGAAATATAACTTTATTTCTGCCTGAAACAAAAAGATAATCTCTCTATATTTTAGAAGTGTATTCTATCGAGTGCAATGTTTTATTTAAAAAATTTTTCTATTTGATGTTTTGCAAAAATTTTGCGTTTTTTTCCTCGCTCCTAACGTCACAATTTGAAATAGTAGTTGATAATAATGTAATTTAAATAGAATTGAGGAGAATATGCAAAATAAGAATTTAATCACCTACCTTCACAGCCATAACGGTATTGCTTATCCTATGAATCATCTTATTTACAGTTCCAAATCCTCCCCTTCCTATTTCCCCAAGATCCTGAAGATCCTCACTTGTGAAATCGTACACTACGTCTGTAGATAATTGCAATTTACCAGTTGTCTGCATAGACTGGCACATTCGTAGTTTGTCTCTACAATAAGCCCCCATTGTAATTTATCTCAAAAAGATAATGTTTTCTTTTTTATTTTCTAATATCCATACCTTGCCTTGTCGGGAAGAAATTCTTGCTGCTGTAACATATTGCGAGGTCTGACTGGCAGCTTAGGTAGAGATAAAGGCAGACTTGGGCGGGTGGATCTGTCGTGAAATGGAAAAGTCAATCTGTGTAGAAGTGACAAAACGGCTGTGTGAAAAATTAATTTCGCATGCATCTCACATTGGTGGACACGCCGTGGTTGCTCCTGTTGAATTCGACAATGAGGAATTTGTAGAATTGGCAAACGACAAATTATTGCCTTGTGTTTGGAAACTAAGTTTCAGCTGTCTTCGCCTCTCTGTAACAGAATGCAGGGCTAATGAGGAGAATCATCCTAACATCTCAAAGATCTCCTTTCTCTCTATCTTTCTGTCTCTTTCTCAGAGATCGCACAATCACAAACGTACCCGACATCTCATTCTGAACGTCATTGTTTGTTCGAAAATCCATTCGCGGAAAGTTGAAAGATCTGCCAGAACCTGCAACGTCGGGATTCGATTAGAAAGTAACGAAGGAAACTTTAGGATCAAGAATTACGCGTCGTTCCATAGAAAATTCGTGAGAACTATCCTCGTGTCTGAGCAGGACTCGTGGCTACTGCGTTTTTTGTTGTAGAGGGAGGGGAAAGGAGGGTTTTCCGTAAATATAGGCGCGCTCTCAGCTCTGATAGGGTTACTTGACAGACTACTACTGGACCTCCAATATTTTTATTTAAATAGAGTGTCTCTGAATTTTCTATACAAACTTTAATAGTAGTGTTCTATGGGCTGGAATAAGGAAAAAAAGTTAAATAAACATAGAGCCTAAAATGCTTTATTAAAGTTGTAGCAAAAATGAAACCTGCAAGAAACAATTTTTTTTATCTAAGTTTATACATGCCCATCTATTACAATTGAACTTGAAAAACTGTTTTTTGAAAGGCATAAGGATTTTCACATGACTATACATGTGATTGTTACAAAAATGGAAAACACTGCTTCTTATAAATGTAATCTCAATGATAAATTCAATATTATATCAATGCCAAAAACTTGTATTAATATGGGCGAATAGCAAAAATCAAACTTAGGGGAAAAATTGTTTCTTGCAGATTTCATATTTATGCTGTAACTTTCTAACAAGAGTAGTATGTTCTTCGTAGCTAAACTGGCTGCACTAGTTCAGAGTTCATCTTTCTTCTTCCGATGTAGAAAGAAAAAGATAAACTGTGAACTAGTGCAGCCACTTTCAGCTATAAAGAACAGGCCTTTTAGCATTTTAGAACCTATGTTTGTGGTTTTTTTTTATTTCAGCTCATAGAACATATTGTTAAATTTTATTCGGAAAATTCGGGGGTTACCATAACTAGACCCGTAGATTTAGCTCTCTACTTGTATTGCTCCACAGCGGTGTGTCAGATTTCTTTACCTGTGCTTTTTAAAAATTGAAAATCATTCTAAACATTTTTTTTTTTAACAAAAACCATATATTATTCGTTTTACTCGCTTTTATCCTTTCAATTTAAATAATCTTCTTTCTTCTACAAAACAATGACAAAGTCGAAAACTAAATGGTAAATCATACCACCGCGGAGATTGGATTAGGTTAGGTTTTCCATGATCGCTTGCAAACGGCATCGCGTGCGCGAGAGTGATAACAACGTACCTTGGCCGGTCTGACCGGACGAGTTGCCCTGATTTTCCGCCATTCCGGGCCTGGCAAGGATAGCTCACGAGCCTCGCGCGTTTCGCGCCCGCACGGAACCGTCAAAGGCGCTCCACTTAGGAGACCTTCTCACAAGATCTCAACAGTCTGGCATATGCGTTACGCGGCAATCGCACCATTTGTGCGGTCTCGCGCGATTCGGAAAAAGCGGCACAGTGATCCAGTCCCCCGCGCGCTTAACGTTTTCCGAATTGATAACGTGCTGAGTCGCGCCGAGCTCGTTGATTCTCGCGAGATTTCACTGTAAACCCGTCACCGAGCATTCGGCCGCTCTTCGGTACTCTACCTGTGACTCTACATACGATGTCATACATATACTACGCATGGACACGGTCACGGTTTCACGTACACACATTCACAGAAGGCTAACGACCGGTTTCTATGCATACGTTAATTTGACATATGTATGATGTAAGGATGCGTTCCCACTGAGCGCGTCACGCGTTGCGTCGTCCGTCGCGTCACGATTAATCGACCAAAATACCTCATTTTATTGCATCATTTGCCCGCGCGACTCCTTGCGCGACGTATCGATTAGATTACTCGACATTCTAGAGATAAAATCATCTTTTTTATATGAAACTAGCACTACAGACGCGCGCTTTGCGCACGCTATTTAACTGCACTTTTACTTTTTATTATAATATTTTTGACTATAATTATACATCAATCTCAATACATACAACGGTCGAAAGTCAACGCAATGACAGCCGCTCACAAAGTTAGTGCAGCGAGACAACCAATCAGCGTCGCGGAAAGGAGCCAACAATGAACTTCGAGACTTTAGAGATTTCGATGGATTCGACTATCGATTTAACATGCACTTTTTTAGACAGGAGAATTCAGGATTGCGCGGCAAATTACGTAATAAAATGGAATATTTTGATTGGTCAATTCGGATAATTCGCGACGCGTGACGCGCTCAGTGGGAACGCACCCATTAATATCGCTCATCGAGATAGGGCTCCTGCACACTGAACGCGGAAATGCTTGCTGCGCGGTAAAATGTGACGCGATAACCAATAAACTTATAGCTCCTAAAGAAAGATGACACATCCATTGGCTCATTATGTCGCATTTTGCCGCGCAGCAAGCATTTCCGCGTCCAGTGTGCAGGAACCCATACTTTTAAAGACCGACAGCCCTGGGCAAATTTTCGTGCCAACAAATGAGCCCGGTGGGCCCGGAGGTAATTGCAGAGTGTCGATGTTATCGACTTTTGACATAAATTTGCGATTTATTTGAATAATACATTATTAAGATCATGATTTTTATCATATAAATGCTTTATAAATAAGTATGAATACTTATAATGCTATAATATCAAATATATTGCCG